TAACCAGTTCAGCACCATCTTTAAATCGTCATGACACTAAATCACAAGACTGACATATGAATCTGCAAACATGGCGTCACGTGCACACAAAAAAAAAAACCCAACAGCTATGAAATGGAATATTGTGTAGGAAAACAAAATGATTGAAAAAGTGCCAGATTTCCCAGCTACGCAAACATGTTTCAGTCAGAAACTTTCAGTCTCCCCCACAATTTCAAATCATAAAAATTAAAAATCAAAGAAGGGGGTAAAAAAAAATCACACAACAACAACAACAAAAAAGGAATGAGAGACTTCCCTTGCACCAACACACATGCTACAAGGCATGCAACCAAACCTCCCTCCTGTCTGTCTATCTGCCTCTCAGCACTGGAGCAGTGACTCACTCTTCTGCTCCTCAGGCTGGCGAGGAGTGGGTGGTGCCTCGATCTCCTCGTGGTCCTCGCCCTCCTCCTCTGCCAGGTGAGAGTGTGTATAGTGGTAGCTCAGGCCTGGGCGATTCTTGTAGCGCTTTCCACAGACTAATACACACACACACCGTCATACAAGAGTGTTATCGTGATACGGACACCCTTACCATTAAAAAAACAAAAAAAAAACAGGGAACAACGTGGAGCCGAGCTGGAAGTTTGGCATTCATTACTCCCAAGACAGCTTTTGCTTTTTCTGTCATTTCCACAACGGGTCATTTCAGGCGGACACGCAGGTAGCAGGTAGGACAGCGAGCTGAAGCCAGAACCAAGTTACACAGCGCACACACACACACACACACACACACACACACACAGAGCATCAGCTCAGAAAACACTGCTGCTTCCCAGCGGCGTTTCTTTCAGATCGCGTCATGCACAGCAAAACAGCTCGCCTCGTTGTTTTAGGGGCGAAAAGCGAAAAGCCTCTCCTGCTGACATGCACGGCTCAGACAGACGACCTGCTACTCACTGTCGCAGGCGTACGGTTTGTCCCGCTCCTCCAGCGCCGCCGCCGCAGCCTCCGTCTTCTTCTTTCCATTCTTGTCACTGCGGCCCTGAAGAACCAATAAGAAACTAGCTTAAGTAATGACTTTCGACGGGTGCATCTCAGAAATATCACCGAAAGGTTGATTCGTTTCAAAAGTAAAATTAATTCACTCTGGTTTAGTGATATTATTTGATTTCACTAAAAACTAAATCACTAAACTGACTTGATTTTTAGATTAGAAAAATAAAACTTTTATCTTGTTACTTTGTATTCACTGCTTTAACATTTTCACATTTCGTGCATTATACCCACAAACACAGATCTATTTTATTTGGATGCATCATCTCAGTGCTCTGGTTGTTTGATTAACACTTTTTCTTTTCACTCAACTTTCCATCAGTTTGAACTGAACCGACATTTTCTTTAGCAAAGACTATTTCGGCCTTGCCTACCTTGTGGCAGGTGTCAGTAGATATAGAGATTTAACTTTGTCTATTTTATTTCAGCATCCTTTGAAAATATTTTATCTGAAAATAAATATTTGAATTTCTTTTATGTTAGTACAAACTGACACAAACTTTCAATACTGACACTCCGCACGATCCAACTGAAATCTATTTAGTTTTTTTTTTCTTTTCATCCCATACCTTTCTCTTCAATTGCACACCGTCGTTTTGAACGCTCACCTTGGATTTGCTCTTGCCTCGTCTTTTGGGAGTATCATCTTCAAAGTCTTCATCATCCAGATCATCCAAGTAATCATCGTGGTCGAGAACTCTCTGCTGTAAGAATCGGAATTAGCCTAAGGTTTCCTTTATGCTCACATGTCTGAACACATGTTCAGGTATATTTTCTACCAAAACGCTACCAGACAGCTCGGAGTGAGCTGTCTGGTTCTGACAGGTCCGGTCAGACGTTTACATCTAATCGGGATCTGAATGGATTTAAAATGTTTCATTTATGATTTGAATCATTCTTTCTCCATGGTGGAACGATCATACAGTGACCAAGTTTGATGTTGATGTTAATCACAGATACTTGGTTGTGTTGGTTTGATCATGTTCTGGATCTTTTATGGATTTTTGTGAACCAATTGCTACGAGCAATAGAAGTTTGTAGCAATAGCAAACTGCTGCCCCTGAAAAACAAGCATGAAAATATATTGGAATTTATGCTCATGATGAGTGGATGTAAACTTTTGACCTGAACTTTATCTCTCATGTTTTCCACATCAAAAAGTCATCATCTATTAAATTTAAAATCTTCATCATCTTGTCACATCAGTGTTTGAAAGCTTTCAGTCTAACCTTACGAATGCGTCCAGAAGACGTGTGAGTGACCGCCGACGTGGCCGGCGGCTCCACAGTGGCCGGGTCGTCCTCAGGTGCGCGGACGTCAGACACGCCGCTCCTCCTCTCCAACGGTTCGCCTTTCAGCAGAGCCTCCAAGCTGCTGCCGTCCACCGTTCCCAAAGCCTCACGTTTCAGACCCAGCTCTAGATCTGCTGCATTATTCAGAAAAACAGGCATAACCAACACACAGTTGTTCATAAAAAGTTTCTGCTTTTTACTGTGCTTGAGGTTTTCCCAGAATTATTCAAATCTGACAACCCCTAAATGTGTCTGTGGAGGGGAAAAAGATACTTCACAAAAGCTGGTACCTGCTTTGAGAGGAGGGAAAGCCAAGCGCGGATCCTCAGGAGGATGGGAACGCCGTTTCTTCCTCCAACGGCGAGCGGGATACGAGTACAGCTGTCCTGGAGCTATACCTAATCATTCATTGGAAACAAAGGACACCAGAGGACTGTTGGACTGTTCTCCTCATGCATTACTTTCAACAAACAAACATCAAATATTAGTCGCAAAATAGTAAATAACTGTTCTTCTTCTTGGTAATTATTCACCTGCGCTCCTGTGCCTCTTCTCCATCCAGATGTAGCAGTTTGACTGTGCAACTCCAGTCTGAGAATCCAAGAAAGGCATGAGGATGCTGCGTTCTGCACAGAGACGGGCGTTGTAGCTGTGACACTGCTCCATGGCATCCCGGTAATACTGTTCTCCTAGACTGAATTCAAAATGGAGGACACAGACAAATTAATGAACAAAAACCAGGAGAGATTTTTAAACTGTTGCTGACCATTATGTACTGCAGTCCAAACTCATATTAAGGCTTGAAACGTTTTTTCTTATTATTCCAATTCAGACATGTCAGGGGACATATATCATATGGCCTGAAAGATAAAGAGTTTTTACATTTTATAACCAGGTTCAAATGAAATCCTTTTACAGATGCACTATCCAGTTGGTCAATTTTCAAGATATTATAAAACAACTGAGAAAATCAATCAGCTTGGTAACAAATTAGAAACTAAAAATTCTGTCAATCTTGCACAATTTTCAAAGTCAAAATTAATGATCAGTTTATACCAATTCACAGCACATATCATGTCTAAGTATGTTATATGACAAATAGACCCTATTCATTTTGAGCTATAAAGAAAACCAAAACAAATCAATCACATTTCTAATAGCACAGCCCAGGTTTACTGACAAATTCAAGTAATTTAAGTCCTGCTACAAATTTGATCATAACACACTGATTAAATGAAAAGCCTATTTGACAGAGAAGATCTTCTCACTCACTGTAGTGCATGTGATCTCACCTGATTAATGTCATTTTACCCCATTAGTGGGAATACAACAGTTCTCTTTGAAGTAGCAGCAGCCTGAGGACAAGGGTCGCTTTCCTCATAAAGCCAGTCTGACTCACTCCCAATTTTCCCCTTAAAAACAGGCTGCTACATCTGTGTTTTACTGTACTTTACGCCTTTGGCTATTTATTTAAAGTCATACTTATTTATAGGATACGCAATGCGTCTCGTGGTTTCAAAGGAAAAGCCAGCATTTACAGCAGAGACGCACTGCTGCCAGAACAAAAGGTTGATTGTTAGCAACAAAGCGCCCGCCAACCGGACAGTTTATTGAAGAATTAAGTCGTCCCTTCATTCCGAATGAGCGGACTAAGTCCTTGTGGAATCACTATTTGTAAAATCACTGCAAATAGGCCTGCAACTGATGGAGTTGGACACAAACATTGCCTTCGCAATGAGCTCAGCTCCTTCCTAACTGCCCAAAGCTAGAAAAGCTAACCGTAGCACAAAGATAACGTAATTCTCTTGGGACAATTTTTGTATTGAACAACAGGAAAGAGCGTGGGAAAATACGACAAGCTCAGCTGTAAAACGATAACCAACCAAATGAAAACGACTCTCAGTGTGGGTGGTCTTTACACTCTTACAACAAATAAAGGTAAACTTACACTTTCACAACACTGTCGACGGCCGCCGCCATATTTGCTTATTGCGGTTGTGTGAAGTGCCAGTGCGCCTGCGCACAGACGTTAGCGACCGTTATTACCTCCCACAATGAAAATACATGCGACGCACATTCGTCGAATGTGTGGGTGCGCGCGCGCGTTTGTGTGCGTGCGTGTGCCTGCGTGCGCGTGTGTGTCTAAATTGGCTTATATATTCATGTGAAAAATTATATAACCCAACTTTTATAAAATTGTATATCAGTACATGAAAAAGAATCAATAAGTATGGAATCCAATTTCAACCACAGTGGAACTAGAATGACTACATCTGCATGTGAGGCAGGCATATTGGATACAGAGATCAGTGCTGCCCTTCCTGCATTTTTGAGGGCCCAGAAAGTCCAACTTCCCAATACAAAGATAAGGGCCCTTTATTATAGACTAATTCGAGTCTAAACTGGTCTGGCAATACAATGTTTTGTTTACAACTAACCTTGGTGAAAAGAGTTAATTCTTATTTAATTCATGTGACCCCAGGCTCAAACAAGCAAGGGGCTCAGATTGGTTTTCCAAAAAATGGGAAAAAAATTTCACTAAAAATAAAAAAATAAAATTTCTTCCACCATGAAAAAGAATTACCATTTCCTGAAACACTAAAACTCAAAGGACAAGAAATGTGGACAACCAACACGAGAGGGCAGCATCACGATTACCTGTAGTGACAGAGTGCAGAAGAAGAAGAAAAGCCGGAAGCAAAAATAGGTAGACTGGCGAGCTAAAATATGTTTGTCATTTTATATAAATAAGTTTTTCTTTGCATTTTAATTATCACGATAAGGTAAGCTGATTCAATTGATGTTACTCGCCAGTCTATTGAAATATAAATATTCTTGGAGATAGGAGTGAGGAGCCGAAGCTAGCATGTGAACACTAACTCAATTAGCTGTAATGGCAAACCGTTAAAATACGTTAAGGTTTTCTTTTACTGGTTACGAGGAAAATGACCCGGATTGAAATGATTAAAGGAACCTAAACAGAGGATTTGTTCACACACACAATGTGTATAAATGCATTCTGCTTGAGTTACATTTCTACTGTTTCCTTTATACGTTATCACGAGTCAATGCCAATGTTATGCTACTGGAGTTAACTGGTGCAGTGCACTGCCCTGATTGGTAGTGGGTGCTTTAATTCCGGTTAAGGTCATGAATTAATGCAGTGATAGATTTTTACCCAAAAAGACGGGAAGGAATGTTTAAAGGGGATTCATTTTCACTTTGATATACAATATTCTTTTTCTTTGATACATTTTGTATGTGTTGTCTGTATCTTGATTGGGCGGAACAATAAGAGTATACTATAAAGGAGTGGTAAGATTTATTTATTTTTATTTTAACTAAGCGCTATGATCACACAGTATTATTGGTGACAAAAAGAAATCAAACTTTAGTTTAATGGTTGTCTAACTATTTCTCTTTAAAGAAAGTGATTAAACACGTCTCTTCCTCCTCTCACAGCTGACCAGCAGCACAGCAGAGATGGAGGCTTTTGAACCAGGCGATGATCCTGATGTGCAGGGGGCAGAGGCAGTAGAAGCAGGTCCTGCTGGACACAGCGAGACTTCTGCCAAGCCTGTTTCAGTTTTGCTGGAAGAGGCAGTCCAGTTCAAAACTAAAGGAAATACTTTCTACAAGCAGAAAAACATTCGCTCTGCCATTGGCCATTACCACCGCGCCCTGCTGGTGCTCCGAGGCCTCGACTCCACTGTGATGGCACCAGTGAAAGGGTTTGGACCTGAGAAACCTCCTCTCACACTGGAACAGGAGACTTTGCTTAGAAACACACAAGTTGACTGCTACAACAACCTAGCTGGTATATAAACATCAGGCCTAAATAAAGCCAGTAGCTTGTACAGGTTCAGCGTTTCAGCCGGAGAGATGGATGTATAGTTGAAGTCCTTTTGTGTCTTTTAGCCTGTTTGCTGCAGAAACAGAAGGTGGATTCCACTCGGGTCCTGGAGTACAGCCTGCGGGTGCTTCAGTGGCAGCCAGGCAACCTAAAGGCACTGTACCGGGCGGGGGTGGCCACGCTGGAGATGGGAGATGCACAGACAGCCAAACAATACCTCACCCAGGTCTGCAAAGAGCAACCAAATGGTAGGAATGGAGCCAGGGTGAGAGATTTAGCCACAGCAGCTTTAGAACTCTGATGAATGATCACTTATCAATAACTATCAGCACTTTAGAGTGGATTAGGATGATGCAAGAGACACTAAACATGGTTGCATTAAAACCAGAGGTAACACTTACTAATATATATAAAAAAGCTCAGGCTTAAAAAAAGGAAATCTAAGCTTCATTCACTAAAATAGAAGGCTAATTTCATAGAGAGTCTGGGAAGATGTGAAGAGAATAAAAATACCAATACTTCAATGAGGAGAAGAGAGAATGACCACAGAAATGAAATAATGAATCTGATTCTTTGGCTTTTAACTCTATATAGTGGAAGTTTAGTCATGACATTGCCTCATTAACCAATGTCAAATAAAATCACTGGTTTAAAATGCTTGCCATATCTTATAGTTACCATCTTAAACCTTACAAGTGAGTTTTTATCCATAAAAGGCACGTTTTCTTACTCAAGTCAAACTGTGGAGGGAAAAAAGTTGATTATATTTAAGGTTGTTAGTTTTTTCACTTCTGATGAAAGTAAATTAAAAGCTAACCTTAACCAAGAAAGGGAAATTTTTACTTACAGTTCAAAGCCAGTAAGCCATTATACCCAGGGCTCTTCAAAAGTATTCATAACCCTCAAACTTTTTCACAAGTTTATTAGAGCGGTATAGTGGTATTAACTTTGGAATCAGCTAATATCTGTTTGATAAGTAAAACATGGCTGCTATGAACAACCAATGTTTATTTCCGTCTTGTTGCTGTTTGTGTCTCTGGAAAGAGAGCAGAACATGTTGACCAGGTGGAATTAGTCTGGTCATGTAATAGTGATGCAGAAAAGGATTGTGGGTTATTTAACAAAAGAAGAGAAATAATGTCAGTGTTGTAGTCAATGTAAGTTTTTCCTTCGCCTTCACATTTATGTGCTAGTTTGTGTCGGTTTTTGACATTAAATTCCTATAAAATATTTATACATTGCTATCTTGTGTTACAGATAGCAATGTAAAGAAATTAAATCAAATACTTTTCTTTGAGTCTGTAAATGAAAAAATGCAAATAATTTCCATACTACATTTAAATAAAAAAAATCCTAGTTTGAATTCAATCATTGTTTGACTGATTTGATTTTACTGGATGTTTGGTCTGATTTCGTCTTGTGAGATAACAGGTCATCCTGAAATTGCTTTTATTTTCTTCCACAGATGCTAATGTGAGGAAGCACCTGCAGAGGGCAGAAGAGAAGCTAAACCGAGAGCTGCAGAAAGAGAGAGCCATGTATCAGGGCATGTTCTCCTCCAGCTCAAAGGAAGGCACAGTGGAGAGAGTTAACCCGCCAAACAGAGCCGGTGATGGAGTTTAGATGGACTCGGTGTGCCAAACGAAACCTCAACCTCTGACAGGCTGGACCACCTGAGAGGAAGATACACTTGTTGAACCGTAATGCCGCCAGGTTTTTGTGAGTTTGAAGGAGGAATAGGAATGTAAAGGTTTCTGCAGATTACAGATCGCGGGAAAGCAACGAGCAGGACAGTAAACATGTCATGGCTGAAAATAGAAAAGAGGACAGAAGAGTTAGTTTCCTAGCAACATGAAAATGAAGAAAGTCAAGTAATCTGTGCTCATGAACGTCAAAGTGACTCTTTATGCACTACCAAAATGCCTCTATGATTGTCTCTTCAGTAACAGGAATGTTGGTTTTCGAGTTTTCCTGAAATGTTTTATTTAAAAATCTAGTTGTGTGTTTTTTTGTTTTTCTTTTTCAAATAAAATACACATATTTTAGACACACCATTTATCAGCTTATTTTATTTATCATATGCCACAAATTATAGTCATACAATTCTTCATTATTTTAATAATTCCATATTCATTTCAAAGTCCTGAGCAAAATATCAAGTTAAAGAGTATTTGCCTGGTTTTGGTCATCATCTGGCCAATATGATTGTACTTCAGAGGCTGTATTGCCAATTATTAAAGAATATCACGTCCTCAAAACAGCTATTATCACTGAACGAGTCACAGAGCAGCATGCAGAGCGGGGAGTATGTGCGCACACATTCATTCTCATGGTTACAGTGGAGATGGAGCATTATGCAACTAAGCTTTTTATAGCCAAGAATGAGTTAATATTCAGAATGATGAACCTGAACTACAGAAGCTTCCCAGAGTTGATTTTTTTCCCGTCTGATTTTGTTGAAACATCAAAAACCTCCAGTAAAAACACCTATTTAAAATATTGTATATTTCCTCCATTGCATTGTTTTTTTTAAGAAATAGTTATTCGGTCAGTATTCACAAAGATATGAATTGGTTATTCAGACAAATCTCGGCAAAGATGCGTTAATATTTTCATTGCAGTAGCACAGTTCTATTCTAAAACATATGAAAAAAACATTCTTTATTGTGATTCACTTTATTAAGTACTACTGTTAAATTATGCTTTTTGTAAATCATCTCTGAATTTTACTTTGAAGTTTACAGTTTGAAACTTAAAGGTTTGTTCAAATCAATGCTGGTCCATTTCTTGGTTTCCCTAAAAATTAAAGCATAAATCATTTTATACTAATTTTTATTTTACGCCAATCAAGTGTTCTAAGAGCCTCTTATTGCAAATGTGTCACTTTTTTTCTAAATCAGAAACGCAAAATGATTTGTGAGTTTTTTTTTTATTTATTTTACCAGCTCAACAAATTAATCTTGCAATATTTTTGTGAAAAGCATAAACATAAAATACATAAAATAGTTTTATTGGCTTGTTTTATTAAAGGAAAGCCATTGAGTTTCCAAATATCTTTGGTCGTTCCACTGATTTTTACTTTCTGAACTTCTCAGCAAAAGGAAAGGATTTGGGTAACTTGTTCTTTGAAAACAAAAATCTCAATCTTTTGCTTTATTTAGTTAAATCAACTAAATGCAGGTTTGGGTGCAGCCAGATTTGCTTTGGAGTTAAAGTCACCAAATAATTACTAACAAGAAAGCAAAAATTCTGATTGTTGTATAATCTAACAATGTATTTTAATGTGTTTCATTAAAATACATGAATTTGTTCAAATTTATAACAAATAGTTTATCTGTATCAGCTGCCTAAAACAGCTGGACAAATATGCATCTTTCTTCTCCAATAAATATATTCAATTTAAATGTTTGGTATGAAATTGTGCTGCTGCAATAAAAGTTTTACTCACTGTTACCAGGAGTCCCAACAAATAAGTTTACTGATCCAAAAACCAAGCCGCGTTTCCGTTTACCATATAATTGTGCAACTTGACATTTTGAAAATAAATGTACTTAATAGAAACATCAATTTTGAACAAACTCATTTGTTGAGAAGTTTTGCCACTACGATTTTTTTGGTCATATCAAAATTGGTTTATGTCACAAAACTGAAACAGATAGTTTATTCGCATCACACCAGTCACACGATAAAAAGCTAATGTTCCAACCGGCGCAAAGAAGAAGAAGAAGAGGAGGAGGAAGTGGTTGGATGATCAAGGTGCGGGAGGTTTTTATATCATGAGTTATGTGAACAAACTTATCCATGTGTGATTTTAATTGCCATTCTTATTTAGCGGGATAAATAAGAAAGAGTGTTAACCTCCAATGGTAGTGTTAACCATTGGAGGTGTTTTTTTGATATTCGCAGAATATCAAAGGTTCCGCAAACATTTGTAATGGAAACGCAGCTACTCTGAGCTTCAAAGTAACCCATTAGCATTTTGTCACTTTTTCCTTTACTTTGTGAGGATATCAAAAGTTTGGTTCAAATTTACCAGATTATTAGTAGAGGGAATGAAGATATTGTAATGGCAAGTTGGAAGGACTTCATGTGCCAGAGAGGACCTTTCAGGTAGATCCTAAAGGCAGCATCAGAGTTCTGAATAATCAGCAAACGAAACTAGATGGCACTTTCTTTACATCAGATATAATGCTAAGCACAAACGGTGTTTTGAATGTAACATGAGGTTCGTTGGCTGTACAAGTGTCACTTCTTGGATGGCTTTCGTTTGAGACTCAGAGACCTCATGGAGCCGAACACCTTCCTCCCCAGATCCCTCAGCGACCGAGAGCGCTGCAGCGGCAGGCGTGGAGGAGGGGAGGGGGAAAACGACGGCGAGGACAGAGACGAGAGCGACTGGCAGCTGCCCTCCAGGCTCTGGGAGCGAGACAGGTTGAAGAGGCTGGCGGTGGAGGACAGTCGCTTGTCTTCTTCCTTGGCTCTCAGCAGCCTGACGCCTTCGTCTCTGCTTGTGCCACCCTGCGCTACATCGAAGGAGGAGACCCAATGGCCCCTCTTCGCCAGCTCCTCCCTGTGGCTCCGAGGCACCAGAAGACCCTGGGACTCACTCCTGAACAGAGCCCTCCTGGAGAGCCGGAGGCTGGAGCTGCGTCTCTCCCCGTCCTCCTTCCCTCTCGACCTGGAGAAGACAGGAGAGTGGTCAACCTTTGGCTTCCTGTCGGAGGATCCCTTGGCTCGTCGGGGCTCCCTCCTCCAGCTTCCCATGTTCCCCCTGCTCCAGCCATATCCATACTCAGCTCTGTCCATCTCCTCCTTCTCGGTCTCAGACTCTTTCCTCCACAAACGTCCCTCAAAGCCCCTCCATAGTTTGCTGGAGGACTTCCTGGGTGTGTGCGCTGCCTCCTCGGCCCAAACGGAGCTGTAGTCCTCTCTCCTGGCGTAGCTGCTCACAGTAGCGGCCCTAACCAGCTTATGGGAGGCGTGTTTCCCCCTGTAGAGCCCATCTCTCTCCAGCTTCTTCCACCTGCTTCCATCCTCTCCTCCTCCCCCACTATGTCGGAGTGAGCCACCTCTTGGTTGGAGTCCTCCATGCTCCCAAGAGGAGGCTCGGTTGTTGTGTGGAAGGGAGCACTGGAAAGGCGAATCCCGTCGGAAAACTGAGAGCGGGGTGGCCCCCATAGGTGACGGCTTGAGGGGGCGAGGAGGAGAGCGAGCCCTTGGGGTGGGGTGTGAAGCTGGGGAGGAGGCAGTGGAGGAGGGAAGATCAGACGGAGAAGGAATGTGCTGGTAGTGGCATTGTGAGGAATACTGAGGAGGGGGAGGGATGTGGATGGACTGGTATGGGTGAATGGGACTGTTGGAGTGTGAGAGAGGAGGGGTGAGGCTGGCCTGAGACTGGGGGGAGTGGGTGACACTGAGGGAGAGCTGAATCGGCCGCTGTGGGGTGGTTTCCATCAGCCTGCCGTAGTCAAGCGATGGATCCCTCTGCGGAGTCAGGTGTGTTTTACTGTGGCCCCTCACCACACCCGCAGGATCTGTTTGGAAGCAGTCGATATCCAGCTCCACACCTTGCTCCATCAGTCCCACCACCACGGCCCGAGACAGACCCGAGAGGCGCGAGATCTCCCCCACCATGGGGGAGTCTTCACTCAGCTTGGGACTGGAGCAGGACTCTTGGATCAAGCTGCTGCGCTGCGATCCAGGAGCCGATCCCGTGTTTGACACAAAAACTGGCTGTCCCACCTCAGGCGGAGCGCCGGTGCTCCAATCCAGTGACCGACAGAAGGAAGATGACCCAAATCCGGGAGTGGCTCCTGAGCTCGGCGGGACTTCCAGGGAACTGCGGTGGCTCAGGCTGCTCGGACAAGTTGAAATCCGAGAACGAGATCTGACTCCTGCGGTGGGAGTGGCAGATGACAGAGACTTGCAAGACGCAGCTGAAGTCATGTTCACATCACTCTTTATGGCTCCACTGCTGCTGCTTTTGGCTGCGTCGGCGGGTCCCCGGTTAGAGTTCAACCCTGGAGCCAAGTTCAAGTTGAGGTTGAGATGCAAATTGATGCTTAAATCTTCTCCGGTCGCTGAAGGGAGATTACCCAGGTTGATTGAATTCCTGGTGGCCTTTTTCCCCATAGCGCTGAGGCTGACTCTGGCTGAGTTTCCCAGCAGGGACTTGCAAGGAGTGGTGCTGCCACCCAGCTGGGTGGAGGGTGTATTACGGCTCTCAAAGGCAGCTAGAGATTGGGTGGAGCCATGACTTTTTCCAGGAGTACAAGGAACTCTCTGCGGGATTGGAGCAGGAGCAGCAGGCGACGTGAGATCGGAGGTGGAGGAGTTCACCTGCTGGTGGTACTGGCAAGCCAGGCGAGCGATGTACTGCTCCAGCTGGGTGACAGAGGCCGGAGTGGGAGGCTGCTGAGGCAGGAGAGGGGCAGCGTCAGGCTTCGCTTCTGCCGCCTCGTCGTCTTGAACTCCTTCAGAAGTTGTGGAGGATGATTGTTCTTGGTTCAGGGAGGTAAAGAGGGGGCTCTGGAGGGCGACGGCGTGCAGCGGGCTCGGAAAAGAGTAGACCTCTTTGGTTCGACGAGACACCAGGTCTGTGCAGTAGCAGGGGTCCAACTGGGGCTTCAACTGCACAGAGAAGGGGGATGAAGAGGGATTGAGAAGGGGGATGATGAAGGAAACCAGGGAGTCACCGACCACCGAGCAAAGATCAGACAGAAAGCTGAGACCAGAGGCATCAATCTCCTGAACAGCTGTAAAGACAAGAAGAAAAACATGAATAAATACAGTTTTATAGTTTTCAGTTAAATCATCCAGATTGTAGCAGATATAAGATAGCGATAACTTTAGATTGAGATTTTAAATTCAGCTAACTTTCCTCTGATACCTCTAATAAAGTTCAGTGCAACCTCAGAAGCCTCTTCGCTAGCAAAAGACAAATCTACATTTTCTGTGAAGGCCTCAGAGGTTTGCTAGAGAACAGGCGGGAGAGTCTTTGACCAGGACAATTATGGCAGAAAGGATTAATCGGATTAATTGTGATGAATCTAATTTAGTAACTGATTCATTGTTACCTGGAGAATAGAGACTAAAACATCTGATTTCCTGAAGGAGCAACTCACTCAGTCATTGAGCCAAAACAATTTAGCTGCAGGCGTATCGTTTGCTATGAATAATCAAGCAGACCCTGAAAAATGCTGTCATTGTATTTTAAGCAATAATATGTTTATTTTAGTATTTAAAAAGTTATTAATTTTAATGAAAAGTCTTCAGTGGTTTTCTAAAAATAATAGCAGAATGTGTCCATTTTTTTTTGTCCAGTAAATTAATTAATAGTGAAAATAATCAGTAGAATAATCGATTACTGCACTACTATGTGTTTGCCTATCACATAAAAAGGTCAAGGAGCATGCATATTTTTTGCAAGACCCTGTAAAAGTTCACCTGGATCATCTGGAGCAGGTGCAGTCGGATCCTCTGCTGGTTCAGTTTCCTCCGAGTTGCCGTCCGTCGCAGGACGCTGCAGCTGCACAACACCTTCTGGCCACAGGGTGTCAGTGTTGTCAGCAGAAGCAGAAACTTGTTCCCACGACTTTAAGGGTCTGGCAGGGGTCAGAGGTCCAACATGGGCAGCTTCACTGGACACGGAGTAGCAGGAGTCCGACAGAGAGCTCCCACTCACAGAGTAGAAACCTTAAAAATAGAAAAAGGCCGTTCTTACCTGTTTAAGATTTGAATAAAGAGCCATCACCCGGAGATACCGAAACGTTATTAAAATTCCCAACAGCAGGGTGCGCACTGACTGCTTCACGAAGAAGTGTGAGAGAGGGCCAGTGTTTATGACTTTTTAAACAGAGTGACAAAGACAGTCAAATAAAATAGTAGAAACTGAACAAGTCAGGGCCAAGTCACTCAGAGTTCAAGTAAATAAACCTAAAAAAAAAAAAAAAAAAGACTGGTTAATGTTTAATGGGAAATCTTTCACCTTCTATATGAGAAGGTGACAAACCGTCGGTCATTATCTCCCACTTCTGCGGCCGACAGGGTGTGTGTTTTGTGTGTGTGTTTACCTGAACTGGGTCTGGAGTCGCTGTCCAGGTGAACCACGCCGCTGGAGTCCGGGGTCGGAGGGGAGAGGAGATCTGAGGAGGCGTCCCAGGAGAGAGTGGACCACCGGGAGTAACTCCCCCTGCCAGATGAGGACTGGACGGTCACATCCCCCGAGTTACTGAGACACTCCTCTGGGCTGCTCTGACAGCGTGACCCCATTGTGTTTGAGGGGGAGGCAGCCTGAAAAACACAAAAAACAAAACAAAATGAGATTAGTTGCTTCGAAGGAGCCAGGCTGTCTTGTAATCTTTTAAAGTGGTCCTAATCAATAGTTGTTCAGGCGTTTTGAAACTTTTTTCCCCTCCTTTTGCCCTCATTTTCTGATCTGAACTATGACAACATATCGTGCAACACGTAGCCAGGAAGCCGAAGAAAGACCTGTGAGACCTGAGGAAGCTTTTAGTACAAACTTACACCCGACAAAAAGCAGGTTAACTTTAAATAAAATTCAGTTTTCAATTCCTTCTGACCCATTTAGGTGCCAGAAAAAGCTTTAAACTGTTTTAAACTTTTAAAGGGCCACCCTGTAAGTCAGAGCGGAGAATTGGTGCTGAACAAGAAACACTCTCAATTAAATTAGTGTTCACATGTATCTGGCTGTACGCTTCCTATCAGCGTTCCAGATAATTGGATGTGTCATCTTCCCTTAAAAACTGGTTCAAACATGTCAGGCAGCCTTTTACACACACGGTAAGAGTTTCGTCTCCAGAGAAATACAAAATCAGCTTTTCACACCAGCATAACAAATAAAAATCAGCAGGATTAAATAGCGTAGTATCTTGCAAATGTATGAATCCCTGAATCAGTTTTAGAAAGAGCATCAACCACAAGTATGGCAGCTTTTCTCCTCCGGGAGCTGCTGGCTGAAAGCCGGGAAGAGACTGCAGGTTTTTATACAGGCGAGTGGATAGACTGAACATGGCCTGATGGTTACAGTGTACCTGTAAGACAGGGGTCCCCAAAGTCGGCCCTCGAGGGCCCGCATCCTGCATGTTTCAGTTTTCTCCTGGGTGGTAGTGACAACATTTTCAGCATGTCAATGTTCTTCTTAGCCCTCATTTGATCCAGGTCCGTTAAGTCCACTTCCTCCCCGCCACCCCCAGCTTACATTGGTTCGTTATTACTCGATTGATTGTAAGAATAATCTATAGATTACTCGGTCACTAAATTATTCGTTTACAACAGCCCTATTATCCATACTTCAAAACACTGAAAAAACTTGACCGAAAGGTACAGGCAGAAGCATAAGGCCTGTCAAATTAAACTACCTGTTCATAAATCATTTAAATATATCAAAAACACAGTTTTTATACAAATAAAATCACTGAACAGAAATATAAAAATGAAAGAAACGATACAAAACAGATACAACGCAATTTGAAGTTATTTATCCTCATAACTGTTAAATATTTTCTTTGATTACTCTTCATTCAATTTTTTGGTCACTCATAATGAAGAATAGCATGAGGCTGTGATTCCAGCTAAAGATATTTCCAAAACATTTTGGAAATATTTTTAATATATTTAAATATGAATATATTCTAAAAAAAAATTATCTGAAATTTAAAAATTTCAGATTTTTTTTGTTTCAGATTAAAAAAAATACATTTTTTTTTATCCGAAAAGAAAAACAAACTAGAAGTCATGTACAGTTTTCCCTTTACTTCATTCAACTATTTTATATGTGTTGTGGGTCAACTATGTAAAATCACAATAAAATACTGTGAAAAGAAAATGACTGACTACTATAGACAAAAACAATGAATTAAGTATGAACATTTGCAAACAATATTCCTGAGAAACTTCAATAAACAGAGGAAATAATGACCAATCGGAGAAACTGGCTGGTTTCTGCTTCACCTTCTGAGGCTTGAAACTGAGGAAACGCTCCTCCACTGGTCAATGCACTCAGGATGCACAGATCTGTGAGAAGGGACATGTTGGACCATTTCTCCATGTTGGACCATGTCTCCATGCTGGACCATGTCTCCATGTTGGACCATGTCTCCATGTTGGACCATTTCTCCATGTTGGACCATGTCTCCATGCTGGACCATGTCTCCATGTTGGACCATGTCTCCATGTTGGACCATGTCTCTGATGAGGTCACTCCACTCTCAGCAGAACAAGCAGCAATAACAGCTGTCGGGTCAGCAAAGTGCCTCCATTTACCAGATTAGTAATAGCTCACTAGAGTAAACCCCCCTCACCCTCCAAGTCCCAGACCCAGGCGGGGCGGGATGAGTCCAATCGAGCCCAAACAAGAGCGACACTGTGAGTGGTTACCGAGGAAACAATACAGGTAGTGACTCACTGCTGGGGTGACGGGAGACGAGGGGCGGCTGTGGGTGTGTGGGGGGCTTTCAGCGGATAATGGGAGAGGACAGATGATGTAACAAAGAGCAGTCAGAGTGGCAGAAGGGAAGGAGGAGGGGAAAAAGTGGGTGAAAGAATGTCAGACTCTGATCCAGCTCAGGTTTACCCCCCAGCTCCTCTTATCGCTTTGCTCGCAGATCTTTATGTGACCAAAACCAGAGCGAGGGACATGGAGGAAAGAAAAAAAAAAAAAAGAGTGAGTCACTGAGTGAGTGAAGGCAGAGCAGGGAGGAAGCGAGGGAAGGAGGGAGGAAAGGAGGGAAGAAAGGAGGGAAGGAGCGGTTGCCGGGCGAGGAGAGAAGGGCATCCTGAAGGACCCCCCACCTCCCCCAGACAAATAATCCCCACCGCCATCTCTCCCACTTCTCCAACATCCTCAGAGCCCGCTGCCCCCGACTCACCATAGCTACAGCTCTGCAACTCTTGCTCGCTTCTCCTCCCACACAGACTCAGAGCCGCGCAGCGTGCAGGCCCGAAATATTTCCCTCATCCTCAGCCTGGATCCAAGCGCTCCCTTCCCACCCGAGCCGTGGATGCACATCTGAGCCTGAGCTCTGAAAGAACCCATTAGGATGTGCACAGAACCGTCCTGATGCACTGCGCGCTGTGGGGTATGATGTTACACAGTGATCAGATTATAAGACAGCAGAGGAATAGCAGGTCGGCTCTGAGCGCGGTAACATGATATCACTTCATGTGAGGGAGGAGCTCAGCTCCCCTTTGGAGCAATTTGCAGAAAACGCGCGGGTCGATTGGACAATAAAGCAGCTGCACACGCAATCCACCTCCTCCTAACAGGTGCATGACGTCACCGGCGACACAGCCTGAAGAAGAGCAATCACAACGATGATGATGCTGTCGCAGGACGGAGCGAGCCTCTTTTGTTTTTGTTGTTTTGTAACTTCCATGCAGCGTGTTATTTATTGTTTCATGCATTATTAATGTCAGATCGGAATATGAAGGCGGCCCACGCTGCGTCTCTGCGTTCAGGCTGCAAACCGAGAACCTGCAAGGATGTTTCAGAGCTGCTCTGTTAGCTGCAGAGATCCCCCCGCAAATCCCCCCAAAACCCCCCAGAGGCAAAAAATATGAGAGACAAAAGACGACTCACTCCACAAGTCAGAGTAATGTCCCTCCCATGCAAGGGGACACTTTACAATTTCTCGTTTTACGATGCAAAACCCTCAGTAGAAGCACAAAAAGCAGAACTGAGACACAGGACTTTATCCCACAATTATCCCTACAACTGGTTTGTTGTTCCGATTAAATGTTGCACATTAAAATCATTTGCTCCAATTTCACACATATTCAGTGTATGTGGAGAAGAAAATGCCGTCAACTCTTGAAAACCTGAGGAAAAGACCTGAATTGTTACAAACATGTCTTTATCATCGCCATGTCTGGAAACATAATTATCCAATTCATATCCAGGACAGAATTTAGACAAAGTTTATAGACGTCTACAAGACACTGTAATAACATACTGACATGATGTGTGTGCATGTTTCCTGAGTGCAAAGCTAATAATTCCCAATAATTTCTGCATGCAAAGTCGAGAAATATGTTAAAGAAAATGAATACATGCAAAAACAAGGCAGTGAGGTCATGTAATCGTTATGAAGATTAAATGCTGATTCATCCAGCATGGAGGATGAAGTCGGGTTAAAACTGGCTTCAGTAGCTTTTACTCAGTCAGCCTGGTAGTGAGATGTGCTCAGGAATGAAGCTCATTCATTTATAAGGCTTTTGCTAAACTATTGAAAGAATGGCTTGCTGATTTAAACTCCTGTCAACACTAAAGAAACTGCATCTGTTGTGTTGTATTGCTTATTTTCATGGTATTGTCTCCATTCTCCAGGCAGTAATGTTTCATTGTTTTCTGTTCAGTCCAGCCTTGCATGTTTGTCTCATATTCTTGTATTTGTTTGCTTTTTTACCATCATTGTCAAAGGACTACAGGTGAAAAACTCATTATTGTGGGTAAAAATAAAGAGCATTTGTAAAATATATGGATGGCAACAAATGTTTTCAAATCTTAAAACCTTAAATTGTTCATTTTCTATCTTGAAAAACTTTGTGCTCACAAATAAAACCTGCAGTTCCTGCAAGACTTTTTGTTGCCACAGTGGCTTTGGATTTTAACTTCAAGGTCTCATTTCTTTTAGAAATGCAGGAACAAAAACTGTTTCCACAAGAGCAACTGCTTTAAAGGGAAAGTTCATCCTTCTCACTTTCAAAAATCTAACCCAGTCCTCCTGCAGCAGTGGGGGGAAGGCTCAGTGTTGACCTTTAACCTTTGGAATCTCAGAGCCACACATCCATTTGGCGTATTTCTTTCAGAAAAGAAAAACAAATTGTTTTGTGTTTACAAAAAACGGTAGTTACTCTGCTGCAGTAGGTCATCATCTATGTGTGTTTATTCTGTTTTGCACACATATGCTTCCTGTAAGTTGATTTTATATCAGTATAAGTTTTGTATTTTTGTTTTTTGGGGGGGATTTCTGCTTTTAAATTGAAGATTTTCCCTTTAAAGTGAGTGAATTTGCATTTCATCCAATGCAAATGAAGAGAGACAGCAGCATGCTCCCTTCTTCTCTCTGTGTGCGTAATCTTCGGAGGCAACGCTTATTTTTGCACACAGAACAGCGACAATGAGGATCCCACCTCGGCCTTGACACCCATTTCAAAGACGAGAAGAGCTGCTTCAAGCTGGTATCAAGTGAGAAGAAGTCAACAGATAAGAAGCACGTTTCAGTCACAAAACGAACGCACATTTCCTTCCTTCCACAGCGTTGTTTTGGAACAAAGCTATTCTTTCCTCCAGACCAAAAAACCTGGAGGAAATAAGATTATTTTGAAAAGCCACAGATTACAGCATACACTAAATGATAGAGACAAATCTGCCACTGCTGCACTTTAAATCTCCTTCTTCTCTGTAATTTATTTTCACCTAATTATGGTCCTCTCTTGCGACAATCGCAACCGTTTTTATTCCCGTTCATGCAAACGTTGCATACATGCGGGGAAAGGGCCTGACGGGGGGCAAAGGGCAGAGAGCCAGGCTGCTCTGCCCGGCCAGCAGCTCCCCTTCGGAGGTGAGAATGAGAGCTGCCGCCCGGCCTCCCCGCAGGATCCCTCCGCACCACAGGCGGGGAGGGAGGGGGAACTACGGAGAAGATGTTGGCCGGTGGGCGGCGAGGAAGGCTGCACAGGAGGAGACGAGCTTCCATCCAGATGCCCACTCTCAGATTGCAGTTTTCCGTTCTCGCACTGTTCAGAAATCGAGCTTCGAGATGCGACTTTATCGTAACGTTGCAGCCATAAGCAGCGCTCTGCAGAGGAGACCTCATGTTTATGTGTATCAGTATTCTGCAGGCCGCTGACTAATGTGACTCACTGTGTAATAACAGTTTGTTCAAAGTGACCGTGATGAAGTATCAGCTGCTCAGAGTAACGCTATTTATTGTAGCCACCGGCGGCTGATTTCATATCTAAAAAGAGAAACCTGCAAACACGGCGCGGAGCTGTAATGTCGTTGCTTTGTCAGATCCAGAGATAATCCGGAGATAATCCGTGACGAACTGATCCACCACATCCACTGCTGTCTAATTGTATCCTTTCTGAGGTTCAGCCACAAAGATGGCAGCCCTGATGGTGAATTTGGTCATGAACAGGAAGATCCCTGCATGGAAATCTTTTCATAGAACTCGGCCACTTTGCAGAGCAGGAAGTTCCCCAAGCGAGAACAGAAACAAGTGAATTTGTTACTGATTAATCTGCCTGAGCTGTTGCTAAAAAAATGAAAATTAAAAATGCTTGGAATTTTGTCCTGGGAATGAATCGATCGCTGGAAGCAATCCAAAGGTTTTTTCTCTGGGTTGCAGAGATACGCTTTATGTCCAACACGGTGAACTCAGAACAAAAACAAAACACATAAATCGAGGTTATTCCTGTTTTTTGTGACGTCATCCATGTTTAAAAGAAGGATATCACAAAACAAGAAGAGGCAATAGCATTTCAGAACCATACAATAAAGGCAGTAGAAGTTACTTTTAAAAAACTTACCGATAATTTAAAAAAAAACAACATAAAAGTTTATTTTCTAAAGTAAAGCATGAATAATTGCCTTTGAGCTACAAAATATAAGTAAAATATGCAATTGTGACATTACATCTGAGGATATCTGTTGCAAATAACCCATGTTTCTCATTTATCTCTATCTATTATCATGAGGTTCTCATCACTCTCCATGACCTTTAATAAATCTGTGTCGATGTGGACAAACGGCCGTGAAAGTTCAACCAGGCGCAGAGCGCAAACACACGGCGCCTGGAATACAAATAACAGATATCTACCAAAGCTTTATGACTGCAAACTGATATTGTGATGCAACATATTGTAGCTTTGAATACCTGCTTGCTTTTTATTTTAGAATAAAAGTCAGACGTTTGCCTTGACATCAAGAAATCAACCAAAAGTCAAATTTTTTAACATTTTACAGGCGACGTCTCCATATGTTTAACTCGAGATTTTTCTGCAAAAATCCACCATCATCAGCAAAACTGATGTCTGTAATAATTTACTGCAGGGCGAGGATGATACACGGACAGATTCCTGTCCTGCTCGTTCTCAACACAAAAACAGCAGCTTTTATTCCAGGCCGAGGTTTGGAGGAAAAGGGAAACAATTTAACATTTTTATGTAACGTCAAGAAAACGGAGCGAAACTTTGAAGTTCAAGGAAAATGACACGTTGTTTCCAACATTTTTTTTTACAAACAAAAACCTGAAAAGTGTGGCTTGCGTTTGTCCTCCGAATGCGTCTGTGTGAGATTTAATCTCCAGCTGTTCTGCAAAAGGCTTTGGAGGTTTTTGGAGAACAGACAGCGTCTTCATGATGCCAAGGAACATAGAAGGTCATTTAGAAAGAGAACTAACACCTGAACACACAATCCCTGCAAGATCCTGGAGGAAAACCTGTTAGAGGTTTCAAAAGACCAGAGAGTAAAGTGGAGATTCACCTTCCGGCGGAACGAACACACATGTCCTCGTTGATTCCTCGAAAGCTACTGTAACGCAACTTGTAGCTGCATCAGTCCTGAAGCAAATGACTGGCTTGTTACCAGATCTCTGCAGAGCTGAATGTTATGCTGGTGACAGGACTCAGCCATTTGGTTCAGGCGTGCTGGATCAGGGTGTTAAACCTCAATCAGTGCCGACAGACGCTTTCCCTCCAATATGACAGAGAGCAGGTCATCTTGCATTGG